TGTCTGGCTGTCTGTCTGTCTGTCTTTCTGGCATGACATCATCGTCGAGCCATTTGAAGGTAATAAATCAGAGCATGTAGACACTTGGTGGCCAGCCTTTTCACATGAAATGGTTTCTTTTTTTTTTTGTTTTGGGTTATTTCTTCGGGAATGGCCTTTATAACGACCTCCAAGAGGAGTGTGTATTGAAAAGCAAAAACATAGAACAATTTTAAGAACAAAAAAATAATAAGAAGTTGATTATTTTTAAAAAACTGAAGTTGTCGATAATGATTCCCTTGACATGTAATTCCCTAGTTTACACAATCAATGGACGCTATTTTCTTATCATCCAGCTTATCGCAAAAATTACCTTTTGTCTTTCTTCGTCGACAATTGGCATAGCATTTTTAGATAAGATTTCGAAATGTGGAACGTAATGAGTAATACAAAAACATATTGAAAGTAAACAAGAACGAGGGACAGGGAGGTTGGTGTTTTTATGGGGCACATTGAATTTCATAATTATCTGCAAGTGCTAATATATCGCAGAATAATTTGAAACAGGCTTATTTAAATAAGTAAAAAAAAACAAGTAAAAAAGCTATAAGTTCGGCCGGGCCAATCTTTGTATACCCTCCACCATTCGAAACGAATTTTGCAATTCTTAAAAAAAATGAATAAAATCCGTTAAAAATTCTGTTAAAATCTTAAAAATACCAAATGTAGCTGTTATATAAGGGTCTATGGGAAGACGTGGATCTGCATAGGCAAATTTTGTCATAAGCCATTATAATATTCAAATGCGAAACTTGAAAAAAAATCGGTGAATAATGTAGCTAAAATCGTCAAAATACCGAATATGGGAAGGTACCGTTATATGGGGGCTATACGTGGACCTGCACAGACAATTTTCTGTCTTAGGCTGTAGTATCCATTACGAACTGCAAATACCAAATTTGAAGCAATTTCGGTGTGGAATTACCACTGAATTCATCCTTGAAACATGTTCATCAAATTTGGAGAAATCGGTTCAGATATGGCTATAGCTCCCATATATTTGTTTCATCCGATTTGTGGTTTTATGTCCCGCACATGCGTAATATGCACTCCACAAGAATGATATTTGGTATCAGATAGCTTATGCAGCTCAAAAATACCTCTGTGAAATTTTGTCGAGATCGGATCAGATTAGGATATAGCTCCCATGTACAGAGTGAGATAAAAAAACAACACCAAAGTCAAACGCCTAAATTTTTAATTTTTTTTTAAATTTTATTGAACGAAAGCAAAAAAAGTCGGAAATAGCATAAAATTTTAGAATAAGTTTAGATTTGTTCGAATTGGTCACCTTTTGCAAGATTCATTGGCCGTTTGAAGGCCATGATTCGTGCCAAAGGTGACCGTCACACTCTGCCCGAATGTTGCTCTGCGGTATTTTGGCCCATTCCCGGCGAAGCGCTTGGTTGAGGTGATCGACACTTTGGTATTTTTTAGTGCCAACCTTGCTTTCCAAAATACTCCAGACACAATAGTTCAACAGATTGGTATCCGGAGATTTTGGTGGCCATTGTGCACTGGAAATGAAGCGAGGAACCTCATTTTGTAACCATTCTTCGGTGGCGCGTGCTGAGTGCGATGGTGCTGAGTCCTGTTGGAATGACCAAGGTCTGCGTCCAAATTGTTTGCGGTCAAAATGTTTGGCTTTAATACACCCTACAGAATATTTTCGCGATAATATTAGGCATATATTCTGATGCCAAGGTCGATTAATACGAGCGGAGAGCGACCATCGGCTGTTGTGGCGGCCCACACAATCACCATGGCCGGCGCTTGAGTTCTGAGGTTGAGGTGGCCAACCGAAGGTTCACATTTTCAGCTGACCTCTTTGGCAAGTAAATACGATCATTTTGTTTGTTTACAGACTACTGGACAACGTATGTTTTCTCATCGGAGAAAACCAAATTCGGCCAACCAAGTTCACCACTTTCGACCAAGCGAAGCAACTCTTTAGTTCTTTTGAGTCTATTTTCTTTCTGTTGCGGTGTAAGTTCTTGCACTTTTTGGAATTTCAATGGCTTTACGCCGAGCTCATTTTTCAATATTTACCAAATGGAATTTTGCGATATGTTTTAGCTCACAAGCCATTTTACGGCCACTGCGACGCGGGTTTCGATCAAGTCGCTTCTTTACTTTACGAACCATTTCTGCTGATGTTGCTGTTTTCTTCTGTCCACTTCCTTGACGTCGATCTACGCTACCAGTATCACGGTAACGAGCGATGGTACGAGACACAAAAGATTTATGCACATTTAAATGCTGGTGGTTTTCCAGCCAAATATAAAGAAATCACATTATCACCTTGAATTCCATCACGAGTAATTTTTTTTCTGGAAAATTCTCACCAAAATGCTTTCGTACGCTTGTTAACAATATAATGAGTTGTCACTGGAATAATTTTAACAGCTGTCGGACGGGTTTTTTCATCTCACCCTGTATTCTTCTACCATAATCCCATCGTAGAAAAAAACAACATTTACATGGGTTTAAATTAAACATGAACCTGCTTCCCCTTTCAAATGATGGCGATACAGCTAACTACCAAAGTTTCCATGACTTTTTTTGATGGTAAATTCAAAATATTGTGCCAGTTGAAAATATTTCAACATCTGTTTTCAAATATGCACAAAAAAATTTGTGCCATAACCATCAAAAAAATGTCCATTATTTAAAGAAATATTTATTTTAAAAACAACTTGAAATGATCCAACTTGAATTTAAATTATCAATGTCATAAAAGTAAATAAAATATTATACTTCTGAATGAACATAATCCTGTTCGATTTGTATTTTCAGTTTTAAAAATATAACCGAATTGTTTGTTTCATAATTGAGAAATATTGGTCATAAATTTGTTTGATAATTAATTAATTAATAATAAATACAAGTATTTACTTCCGAAAATTTTGAAATTAAATTTTAATAAATGCAGACAAGTGGAGCAGTTTTATAAAAAATCTTGAGGCCCACGAAATTATTTTAAACTCAAATATATTTTGAAAATGTCGAAGGTAATTTATTTTAGCTTGGAAGTACATTCTCGTGTTTTTAATAGGACCATTGTTTTTAAAATATTTAAAATGGTACATTGAACCATTTTCAAGCATGAACCATAATAATGTCCAAACCAATTATAGGGCTTGTGCCTAAATTCGAAACTAAACATGTGAGGTTTTACAAACGGAATGATGCATGATATAACAAAAGATCATTAAAAACAAGAATGCTCTGTTCCAGAACTGCAAGAATGTACAAAATGTTACTGCGAGAAACAAAGTTCCTTTTGTGATATCGAAAAAAATGGCAAAACTAGTAGATTCCCCCATATTCTGGAACAGAATAGTAGTAGTCTCTGATACAATTTGTCTGATTTGTCAAAATAAAATCATTTGACTGCCAAATCAAATTAAAAAAGTTAAAAAAAGGAGAAGTATGAAAATGAGGTGCCTAAGTTCGGGAGCAACTTTTGATACCCTCCATCATTTGGAAGGAACCTAAAGAATTAAAAAAATCGTAGTAAAATACCGTTTATAAAAAATAATTATATGGACCCTACGAAAGCGAAGACCTGTTTAAGTATTTATTTTTTTTTCATAGGCTATGTACAGATTCCGAATTGCAAATACGAAATTTAAAACAATTCCGTTAAATAATTTCGCTAAAATTTTCCGAATTACCGAATATAGGGAGGTATCTTTTTATGGGGGCTATGCGAAGACGTGGGCCTGAACACGCAATTTTTTTGTCATAGGCTTTAGTACTTACTACGAATTCTAAATACGAAATTTGAAACAACTCCGGTGAGTAATGTCTCAAAAATCATCAAAATATCGAATATCGGTGGTACCGTTGTATGTGGGCTATGCGATTTTGTGGATCTACATAGACATTTCTCTTCCAGGGGGGTAAAGTGGTTAGAAAGAACTTCTAATGTTTATTTTTAGACAATTCCGTTGAAAAAATGTCGCCAAAATAATCAAAATACCCAATACCCAAAAATCACTCATAGAGAACTCCTTGTGTAGACTTTCAGACAATGCCATTGAAAAATGTGACTAAAATTGTCAAAAACCCGAATTCGGAAGGTACAGTTATATGGAAGATATACAATATCGTAAACCTATATAGACAATTCTCTTTAAGGGGGTTAAGTTATCAGAAGGAACTCCCTGTGTGGATTTCAATTCAATTGAAAAAATGTGGTTAAAATCATTAGAATACCCTACATGGGAGGCACAATTATATGAGGGCTATACGATATCGTGGACATATAAAAACAATTCTTTTTCAGGGGGTAAATGAACGCCTTGTGTAGAATTTCAGACAATTCCATTGAAAAATGTGGTTAAAATCACGAAAATACCGAATGTCGGGAGTACCGTTATATTGGGGCTATACGATATCTTAGACCGATATAGTCTATCTTCGAATTTGATCTGCCTGCAGACAAAATAAATATCGATGCAAAATTTTAGCTTCCTATCTTTATTTGTTTTGACTCTAGCGTGGTTACAACAGACGGACGGACGGACAGGGCTAAACTATGTATGGTGGAGGTTATAAAAAATGAAAAAGAAAATGAGTCAAAAAAGGAAAAATCAAAGTCGATTAGGCATTTGAATTCCAAGAAGGAACGGGCTTTAAAATCGCTTTCACAAAATTGAATCTATGGACCTTGTAAACGAAAGAAAAGGAAAAGTTACAAGTGATTGCAAGAAGAAAAATGCCCGGCAAGTGGCAAAGAACTGTCAATATATCTCTAGCGGATCGCTCTCTTCTACAGAACGTTGGAGTTAACACGCGCCCTGCAACCAGACATACCTTTTATCATATTTAGTGATTCTTTTTGGCAGTTTTCGACAATAATATCCCCATTCCAACACTTTGAACCATTATCATTTAAAAAATATGAAGTCCCCCTTTTATAAAATTGGTAAATTAGACTAATCAATCATACTTACTCCTGGGCATTATCGTCTAGAATTCCTTTTATTCGTATTTTATCGCCTTTTTGCAGGACATTTGGAACAATATTTGTGGTATAGGCAATTGGTGGCATTTTGTATCGATGTTTGCTTGTTTTGTTTTTGTAATTGACACAACAACCACAAGTATTTCACAATCAAAATTATATTTTGTTGGAATAAAAACTATCTTCCAAATAGTTTTTAATACTGTCTGGGCAAAAATCTATTTTAAATAGACGCCTCAATTTACAATTTTTAAATTCTTGTGTGGTTTTTGCTAATTACTTAATTTGTTTCAGAATGTTTTGATATTTGCCTTATGATTCATGTGACATTAATTATTTTTTATTTTTCATTCATAAAAATCCAAACTCTCTTCGGCTGGTTCTCTTTTGTGCCCTTTTTTTGGCGGCGTAAGGATTACAAAACTCTCAAAATGCTATGGTGATTTGTTGTTGTTGTTCTAATTTGTCGCACAATAAAAATGCGGTAACTAGGTTGGTAGGTATAGAAACAATGACGGCGGGTATATTCTTTTCTTTTTTTTTTGCTTCGCTAAAAATATATTGAAAATTGCCAAATATTTTCTTGTTGTCAAACACTTTGATTTATAGTTGCTTTGCTTAAATGCTTCTCATTTGTTAGACTGTCACTTAACACAAAATTTTCAATTCGATTTGTTTATGAAAATGCAATATATTTTGTTCGGTATTTTTTTTTATTTGAATATTATATTCGATTTTGTTTTCCGCACGAAATGCCTAAATGTCTAACTCCACTAAGTTCTTGCGAGCAACTAAATTTAATTGAGAATGAAACCGACCGTTCGTTTGCCGTTCATGGATGTTGTGTTTTTGTTTTTAACGGTTTTCATTCTCTTAAATATATGTTAAACATCAGACTGCTGCTGCGAGTGTGGTCAATGCAGCAGTTGAACAAAATCGCTAATTTGATATAAAATTAACATTTAGAGGGGTAAAGATTATGGGTGCGTTTTGTGGGAAAGAAAACAGTTGAAAGAGGTAAATGATTTTTTGTTTCTTTCCTTGCTCCTGAAAACTCACTTTTCTTTCCGCCAACTTTATTCATTTGTTTATGGACTGATAACATTAGATCTGTTTTGTTACTTTTTTTTAACATGAATTGTCCAGCAAATTATCTCTGAAAGAGTGAAGTAGTTTTATTATTTTTTTTTTTTTTGGCAAGAAAAATGAGAAAGGTAAACAGACGGAATCCCAGTAAAAAAACTTAAAAGTAATCAGCTGATTAGTCAAAACAAAACAATTGGATCTCCATAACAAGTAAAAAACATTAAGTTCGGCCGGGCCAAACTTTTAATACCGTTCACCTTTGGGCAAAGAAAAAAATTTTAATTTATTTGATATATTTGAATTCAAACGTGTTCCGCTTTAAACTACATAAGACCGTTTGGGTAATGCTATTAAACTTTTCAAAAACCCATAAAGTGGGCGAGGATGTTATATGGGGGCCATACCAAAACGGGAACTTTCAGAAACCATTTTATACTTCAAGGATTGTCATCTACCAAATCTTTTAAATACCAATTTCGTGCGTCACATTTGATCATTATGACCTACAAGTACAAATATTTAGACAAATCCGTGGAAAAATAATCAAAACACCGAATATCGGGAGGTACCGGGCGTTACACGAAAACATGGACTTGTATATAATATGTTTCGCCACATGAGCTGGAACCTACTTTGACCTACAAATACCAATTTTTAGACAAATCCGTGAAAAAATGTGGCAAAACCCCTCAAAATACCGAATATCGGGAGGTACCATTATTTTGGGGGCTTTACAAAAACTTGGACCTATGCAAGCAATGTTCTGCCACCGGAGCTAGAAGAATTTATGACCTACATATACCAATTTTAAAAAACATCATCAATATACCGAAAACAGGAAGATACCGTTATATGCCGGCTATATCAAAACGTGGACCGATGTTTCTCATTTTTATTACCAACCATCCTAGTCACAATAAACATTTTTGTGCCAAATTTTGAAGCTCTACGTCAAATACAGTAGGCTGTATCGTGATTTCAACAGACAGACCGACATCGTTAAACCGTAGAGTTTTATGCTGATCATGAATATATATACTTTATGGGGTCAACGACGAATATTTAGTCGGATATTAATTAGAAGGAGATTTGTTAGATTTTTTATGTTTTCTTATACGACGCAAATCGGATGTTGTTATGATATGCCTTTTTTAAAAAAATGTTTAAAATTTCTATAATTATCCATTCAAAATTTTCAATTCCAAAATTAATTTGACAGTTCAGTATTTTTCTACTATGAAAGCTTCATTTATTCGTGTATAACAAATGATAAAAGCGTTTAATATTTGAACTCATGAGCAACACGTTTTATTTGTTGTTGCACGTTAACAACACTGATGTAACAAATTCTCTCACGGCTGATGCAAATTTGATTTTCCAAACGTTGTTTATTCTAATCGCAAACATACTGCAATACATGTCAGTAAGCACGTGTCCAATGTGAAATTAAATCCGCAATCAGTGAAGAGTGGGAGTTACAAGATCTATTAATTGTACTTCTCTTAATGGTTAACTGCAGTTAAAAGTTCACGTCTTACCTCCTATGTTAGCTAACATTCAATATTTTAACATTGTTTCCGGTTCTGTTGATTGGGTAGGAATGGGGGAAATACCTTTGCAAGTATTGAGTCATGTCATGTTGGGTTTTTGGGGAAGTTGAACAAATTACTTATTAAACAATGTATGCTGCACTCAAGAGTTTGTTTTTATTTTGCTAACGATTGCGCCGATAGGAACATAGTTGACGTACTTGGTGATTCTTATCTAATCGTGATTGCAATTTCGTCAGATTTTTTAACACCGTATTTTTAATAAACTTCCAATGGAAACGTTTTTGATGGAAATCCCCGAATTAGGGAAACATACACTTTTTTTGAGGTAGAAGCACACTAAGCAGAACTCTTAGCTGGACAGGAACTAAATGACAAGAAGCAATAAAATTAAAATGGTTTTAAATACATTGAAAATAAAAATTATTCATCACCACATGTTTATTCGGGATTCGGTACAAAGTTTATAAAAGAAAACTTTGTTTTCAAGAAAAGAGTGAAGCGAGCAGAAATCATTGGAAAATAAACCTTACTATATAAACAGAGCAAATTTGTGCTCTTGCGTGAATTTACTAGTTTTGCAATTTTTTTCAATATCATAAAGGGAAAATTTTTTATCGTAGTAAAAAGTTTTACATTCTTGCAATTCCGAAACAGACCAATTGTCATTCTCTTCTCTTTGCACCAGAATGATTATTGTATATTTGGTTTTACATAAATAAAATTTTAAATTTATTTAATCAAACCATTAAATGTTCAAATAAATTTAAATTCAAAAAATAAAAGGCCCAATTGGCTTTTTCCCGCCTCTTATTAACAATCGATAAATCGATTAGTCGATAGTCGTCTTACATATCCCTGTCATTCACCAACCAATAGGAAAGCACTTCGTGGCCAACGAAAAGCACATAACGGTAGAGTTCAAAGCCAGCCACAGACGAAGCAACAATTGAAATGTATATTAAATCAAATAATGAATAAAAATCTGAGCATTTTCCAAAATAAGTTAATTATTTTTATTGTTTATTTAAATATAAATTACTATTCATTAAATTTTCAAAGAAAAAATTTAAAGAAACAATTTAAAAATTAATAATTATTTGGTTGCTCTTGAACGGCGTTGGTTTACAGAGCCCATGACACCCAACTATTTTACTCTCATTTTCTCCGCTACTCTCTGGCATTAAAAGGTGTTCTCATTACCATTTATAACAAATCCATTCGTTTGTCCACACCGGCTAAAACCAACAAGCTACTTGGAAAAATAACACGTATTTATTTGTTTTATTAGTGGAGAAAGTGCTAGAATAAAATAGTGGAAATATTCAATAAAAATTGACAGTAAGTGTGAATACAATAATACCAATTCAATTGAAATAATTAAATATCTAAAGAAAGTTAATTATTTTCACATTTAGTGGTCATAAAAGGCCATCGTAATCAGATGTTTTCCTGGGGAAAACTGATTTAGCTTACGTGTCGAACCAGCCGAAACTGATCAGCTGTAAATCTTTTGGGGGTTTTCATTTATTAATAATGATTATTTTTGTCCTCTTTTTCCAGCAATGAAATCTCAAATCGTTTTTACACTTTTTGTGGGTTTGGCCATTTTGGCCCAGGTATCCCATGCCCTGAAAGAGGAAGATTGTGAAGGTATGCAAATAATTATCATTCATTTCTGGTATGATTTAATCAATTAATTATTCGTTTTCATTTACTACTTTCAGTTTGTGTTAAAACAATCAGAAAATTTGCTGAATCCCTTACGGATGCCACCAAAAAAGATTACAAATTAATTGAAAATGAATTCAAGAAATTCTGTAAGACACAGAAGAACAAGGAACAAAGATTGGTAAGTCATCACCACATCGAATGCCGCTTGTTGATTTATTCTCTTTAGACGTCACGAATAGAATGACGTGTCTGTTGCTTGCTATTGTTGCCTGTGTTGTTGTTGTTGTTTATCTGTAAACATAACTAATGTCTGTTTTATTGTTTTCTATTCTACAGTGTTACTATTTGGGTGGCTTGGAAGAATCAGCTACTGGCATCTTAAATGAAATGTCCAAACCCTTGAGTTGGTCAATGCCAGCTGAAAAAGTCTGTGAAAAACTCAAGAAGAAAGATTCGCAAATCTGTGATTTACGTTACGGTAAGTGAAATGAATTAAGAATTTAATTTTAATTTTTAAAATTTAAATAGGGGCGTCAATGGGAACAATTTGACGAAGTGGTAACATCCACACATCATCTTTTCACATAACATGCAAGCCAAACATGCGTGCCGCTTTATGTATCTTTCCCTAAAATTTAGTTAAAACCGATTGTTTCTGAATTTGGGGTGATGAACCCGAGGAATCCTAAGAAGAGTTTATTGGTTTAACTCCAATGAATAATCTGGTCAATTGACAAATATCTGGACAAATATCATTTACTACCCCAAAACCCACACCAGAGCTATCAGTAAATGAAAGGAACCTACTTCAATAACTATCAGCCTTTGAAATTGCAGCTGTGGCCCACCGCTTGACACCATTGTAGTCATCAAAATCACAATATTGTGGATAGAACTCCCACGTCCAGGCATTTCAGTGTCAAAATATTGTGGATATAACGCAGGTGGGGCAGTATATCCTAACTGCATAACCTGAAGAATAAAGCCAAAACTATAAGAGAAAGCCTTTAGATAAATAATCCAGTTAAATTTAAGTCTACTACGGTCCAAACAAATTTTTTAAATTTATTAGAACATTCACGTTTGTTTAAAATCCAAAAAGGATCCCTTTGTATTTAGAACTTCGAAGAACTTCTCTGTTCATAAAATTCTTCTATCTACAGAATAACTTTAGAAGCTTCCTTGCCATTAGAAGTACTGAAGTAGGCATCCCATAGATAATATTCTAAAAAAATCTAGCTGTTGAATACATATAGTTGGACATCTACCTTTAAAACCTGCTCGAAAAAATCTTCGATTTCTAGATGAACTTTAGAAGATCCCTTCTAACAGAATTCCTGTGAAATATCTTTATTCATTGGTATTTGAAGTTCGTAATGGATACGAACCTATGCTAAAAAAATTATCTGTGCAGGTCCACTTTTTCGTATAGCCCCCATATAATTGTACCTCCCTATATTCGGTATTTTGATGATTTTAGCTACATTATTCACCGGAATTGTTTCAAATTTGGTATTTAAAGTTCGTAACGGATACTAAAGCCTAAGACAGAAAATTGTCTGCGCAGGTCCACATATTCGTATAGCCTCTATATTGCGGTACCTCCCGATATTCGTTTTGATGATTTAGCGACATTATTCAGCGAAATTGTTTCAAATTTCGCATTCGAAGTTCGTAATGGATACTAAAGCCTTTGACAGAAAGTTGTCTGTGCAGGTCCACGCCTTCGTATAGCCCCCATAATTATATGGTACGTCCTTATATTCGGTATTTTGATGATTTTCGCTACATACAGGGTGAGATAAAAAACTGCTAAAAAGTCAAAGACATAATTTTTTCCTTTTTTTTTTTAGATTTTATTGAATGAAAGCAAAAAACCTCGGAAATAGCATCAAATTTTAGAATAAGTCTAGATTTGTTCGAATTGTTCACCTTTGGCACGAATTAAAGCCTTCCAAAGGCCAATGAAACCGACACACGCTGCCCGAATGTTGCTCTGCGGTATTTTGGCCCATTCCCGGCGAAGCGCTTGCTTGAGGTGATCGACACTTCGGTATTTTTTAATGCCAACCTTGCTCTCCAAAACACTCCAGACACAATAGTCACGAATAACTTGTTTTTGGAAAATTCTAACCAAAAATGCTTTTGTAGGCTTGTAAAATATATAAGGCTTTCGGACGAGTGGCTTAGAAGTGACAGCAGTCTAAATTTGGTTGCAGTTTTTTCATCTCACCCTGTAATTCACCGATTTTTTAAAGTTTTCCATTTGAATACTGTAATGGCTTACGACAAAAGTTGCCTATACAGGTCCACGTCGTCGTATAGACCCTAATATAATGGCTACATTCAGTATTTTTAAGATTTGAATATAATTTTTTAAGATTTGATCTATGAAACTACTCTTTTTATAGAGAACTCATAGATTGTATTTTTTATAGATGTTGCCAAAGCAATTTTTCTATAGAAGTTCTGTGGAAAATTTTCCCTCTGTAGAGGACTTTTACATAGTCTTTCATCCATAAAAAACAACTTTGGTTTGTGTAACCATCTAAACATTAAGGTCTTCAGAATAATCCATGGAAGTTCTTGTTTTTTTATGACACTTGGAATAATTCTTAGAAATTGGCCCCATTTTGCTTCCTCAGTATTTTTCTTTCGTCTTTTCGTTTCAAAACTTAATTATATTTTTGAAATTTTTAATATTTTACAAAATTAACGGAGTTTTTTTCTCCTCTTTCAGAAAAACAAATCGATTTGAATGCTGTCGACTTGAAGAAGCTCAAAGTACGTGACTTGAAGAAAATCCTCAACGATTGGGATGAGACCTGTGATGGTTGTATTGAAAAGACCGATTTTATTAAGAGAATAGAAGAGCTCAAGCCTAAATATGTTCGTAGTGAATTATAAGGAAATAAAACACCACCAACAGTTCAAAAAACAAAACAAAAAAACACACACAAAAAGACTTGAATTTAGTTACATAAAATAATGAAAAAAGGAAAAAAATAAATTAAATACAAAAAACACATTTACACAAACATTTTATTTATTGTATTTGTATTTTATAGTTTTTTTTGCAGATTATCTTTGCTATAAATTTATTTAATGCATTTCACAAGAAGAGATTTAAATGATAGTGGTTTACAGAACAGAAGTTGTGTGTAATTTTGTATACAATATTTTCGTTTTTATTAAAAACATTTATTATTACAAATAAGATTTTGTGATGAGAGAACACACAAACACACACGTAGACAAAGAAAGTGAAAAGTATTGTAAGAAAAATAAGGAAATATAGAATTATACAAAATAATATTAAGGTTTTATTTGTTTTCGAGACAATGTAGAAATTGGAAATTTGTTTGTTTTTAATAAGGATTATTTTTATGGCTAGTACTTGGCAAATTTAAGGTGCACATATATATACGATTTTTACTGGATTGGTCTTAAAAAAACAATAACTTTTCCATAAAAAACAAAGAAGCGTAGGGTGAACTAGTATAAATTATGGGTCGATATTGAACTAAGACAAACTAAAATTCCTTGGTTCTTAAACGTAGAAGCCAGCGGTAAAAAAAGTTATAGACGTAGAATTTTGGACGCAAATTTCGATTCGATGTGTTTTCATCAACTCTCCACTATTATTCAGTTACTTCATTCGTTTTTATTTAATGGTTACAAATATTGCTTAAAATTAAATGTTTTGTTTATTTAAAAAAAAATTAAAATAATCATAAAAAATTAAATAAATATTAATTAAAAAATTTGTTAATAATTTAACTCTATTGGTGTAGAATAAAAGAAATTCGCAATCGGAGATTAACGTCTATAGGGCTGTTTGTTGTAGCGTCCTCTTTCGTTTTCCTGTGCCAGAATTGTGTATTCACTGTAGACCACACACCAGCAATAGGTCAAGATGGCTGTAAAGAGAAAAAAAAAAAACAAAATATTTAGAAGATGGTCATTAAATAATAGAAATAGGTAATATATTTTTAATGTGAGGTAGGGTGCAAGACAGTCATGGATATAGCAATAACAATTAAAACATAAACAAGTAAAAAGGCTGAGCCGAACTTTAAATACCCTCCACCATTTGGAACGAATTTGGCAATTTTCAACAAAAATAAATTCTGTTAAAAAATCTGTTCAACTCTTAAAAATACCGAATGTAGCCGTTATATTAGGGTCTATACGACGATGTGAACCTGCATAGGTAGCTTTTGTCATAAGCCATTACAATATTCAAATGCGAAACTTGAAAAAACGTTGAATAATGTAGCTAAAATCACAAACTATCGAAAATAGGGAGGTACCATTACATGGGGGCTACACAAAGACGTGGACCTACACAGACAATTTTCAGTCATAGGCTGTAGTATATATTGCGAACTTCAAATACCAAATTTGAAACGATTCCGGTGAATAATCCCGCTTCAATGGCCAAAATACCGAATAACGAGGGGTACACTTATATGGTGGCTATACGACGACGAGGATCTGCACAGACAATTTCAGTTATAGGCTGAAGTATCTATTGTGAACTTCAAATACCAAATTTGGAATAATTCCGGTGAAGAATGTCGCTAAAATCATCAAAATACCGAATATCTGGAGGTGTCGTTATATGGGGGCTATACGAAGACCTGACCCTGCACAGACAATATTTTTGTCATAGGCTGTAGTATCTATTGCGAACTTCAAATACCAAATTTGAAACAATTCCGGTGAATAATGTCGCTACAATAATCAAAATACCGAATAACGAGGGGTACATTTACGTGGGGGCTATACGAAGACGAGGACCTGCACATACAATTTTCTGTTATAGGCTGTAGCATTTATTACGAACTTTAAATACCAAATTTGAAACAATTTCGGTGAAGAATGTCGCTAAAATCATCAAAATACCGAAAATAGGGAGGTACCATTACATGGAGGGTATACGAAGACGAGGACCTGCACAGACAATTTTCTGTAATAGGCTGTAGTATCCACTACAAACTTTAAATAGCAAATTTGAAACAATTCCGGTGAATAATGTCGCTTTAATCACCAAAATACCGAAAATAGGGAGGTACCGTTATATGGGGGCTATACCAAAACGTGGACCAATATGGCCCATTTTCAATACCAAAGGTCCAGGAGACATAATATACAGTTGAGTAAAATTCTATCAACCTACTTCATTTCGTTCGGAGGCTAGAGTGATTTCCACAGAGGGGCAGGTGGCCGGACATCACTAAATCGACATAGAATGTTATGCTGATCAAGAATATATCTACTTTGTGAGGTCTAAAATGTATATTTCGAGGTGTTACAAACGGAATGGCAAACTAAATATACCCTCCATACAATGGTGGAGGGTATAAAAAGAAACTGTCCCAATTAAGAGTACCTAACCACCGGCCAATCTTACTTTCATCAAAGACATTCAGATGGCCATTCCCTTTGTGGCAAATTTTATTGCAATTTCACTTTCCATAAACATTTTAAAAAATTGCAACTAAATCGCATTTCCAAACATGGTCTTGCAGACTTTGTGCTTGGAATGCCGTTACTGCCACCATATGCAGGCTTAAAGGTAACATAAAACACCGATATGTCTGACAGTCTCCAAAGACCAAAATCGGTGACAATATTGTATAACCCGTAAAAGTAAACCTCGTATATCATATTTTATGACACACTGTCACCACCTCCAATGGCTAAGGGTTTCATATGCCATATTTGTGGTACACGACCGTGTGTGTGCGAGTGTGTAACAATTGGTAGGTAATACAAAACGTCATAGTGCGAAGCAGCAACTTTCATTAGGCCAGTAGTAAATAAATCCTAACCACATTTTATAGTTGGCTTGCCCCACAAAAAAAGTAATAACCGCTAAAAAGATGCTATGAAATTGTAGGAGCAAACCTAATTTTTAAGCCTATTGCTCTACAATGCGGCTACTTATGACAATGATATATTTGAGGTATAAACCGTAAGTTTTAAATTACAATTAAGTTGTAGAAATGAAGAAAGTAGGTGGGTGATGTGCAAATAGAAAGCTTGTGCTGCGGTTTCAAAGTCAAGCGGAACTATGTAAAACCAATTTGAGGCCAAGAAGGAAGTTATACAAAGGCTTAACAGTTATTTTCCCCATTTGACAGACCTAGTTATTCAAAAAGGGAAATTGAGTACAAGCCAAAGATGTTCCTATTCCCCAAGTGCCGATCACCTCAAGCAAGCGCTTCGCCGGGAATGGGCCAAAATACCGCAGAGCAACATTGGGGCAGCGTGTGACGCTATCTTTTGAACGAATTGAGACAGAAGGCTAAAATTTTGCACACATGTCTATTATGCCAGTAGGCAGGTTAAGTTCGTAACCTCCCGATATTCCGTATTTTGATGATTTTAGCGACATTATTCATCGGAATTGTTTCATATTTGGCATTTGAAGTTTGAAAAGGATACTACAGCCTCAGACAGAAAATTGCCTATGCAGGTCCACGTCTTCGTATAGCCTCCATATAACGTTACCTCCCGATATTCGGTATTTTGATGATTTTAGCGAAATTATTCACCGGAATTCTTTTAAATTTGGTATTTGATGTTCGTACTGGATGCTACAGCCTAAGACAGAAAATTGTCTGTGCAGGTCCACGTCTTCGTATAGCCCCCATATAACGGTACCTCTCAATATTCGGTATTTCGATGATTTTAGCGTCATTATTTACCGTAGTAGTTTCAAATTACGTATTTAGAGTTCGTAATGGGAACTACAGTCCGTGACAGAAAATTGCCTATGCAGGTCCAGGTCTTCGTATAGGCCCCATATATCAGTACCTCCTTATATTCGGTATTTTGACGATTTTAGGTACAATACTTACCCAAATTGTTTGAATTGTTATATGAAGTTCGTAATGGAAGCTACAGCCTGTGACAGAAAATTGTCTATACATGTCCAGGTCTTCGCATAGCTCCGATATAACGGTACCTCCCTATGTATGGTATTTTGATGATTTGGGCTACATTATTCACCGTTTATTTCAAGTTTCGAATCTGAATATGGTAATGGCAAAGAATGACTATGTAGGTGCACGTCGTACAGGCCCTAATATAACGACTATATTTGGTATTTTTAAAATGATAACAGAATGTTATCCTTTTCGAATATTTTCAAATTCGTTCTAAATGGTGGAGGGTATTCAAAGTTCGGCCCGGCAGAACTTACAGCTGTTTTACTTGTTTTTATCTTACCCTGTATTTAACCATTATAGCTGTCTTGTCACTCAACCTCAAATGAATGTTCTACATTTTACAATAACTCTAAACCCAATACTTACCACATGAAATCAATCCAAATACCAGCCACAATACTCCAGATAAGACATAGCCATCAATGAAGAACACGACAGCGGTATAAATGACAGAAACCAGGAGGCCAATTGCAATCATGATACCAAGCACAACCCATGGCATCATAAGGTAATGATTACGCTGCAAAAATATCACAAATTAAATCGAAATGCAAATTATGAAAAATGAAAAGTGGGCCTACCTTCATCACACCGACAATCATCAGCGTCGATATCAGGATGGTCATGCACAAATTAATGACCAAAATTATTTTCACAATGTCCGTGTCCAAATCGAAAAATATTGTCTTAAATGCTACCCGTGTGGTGAATATGACGACAATAGTGATGATGGACAGGACAATGGCGAGGAGTCCCGATATGATGGAGCCATTGCGTGTTGAGGTGCAGAAACAGCAGGAATTCAATGGTGGATTTGCCATTTTCTGTGTGAGTGTGTGAGAAATTTAATTAACTGAAAAAAGATAAAGAAGGGGGTTTTTAATGAAATATGTTCTATAAAGAGAAAGAGAAAGAGAGAGAGAGAAAATGCAATAAAAAAACAACGAATCTTCGATTTGAACATCGTGAGAATATTAGATAAAGAGCGAACTGAGAGAAAGATATTATTGAAGGAGAGCTTAAGAATACAACAGAACGTAAACAAAACGATGAATTTAAAAGAGGATACTGACAACATCAGTTGTTGTTATGGAGTTGCAATAAAAATAAACAAAATGTGATGTCGATTTAAAGTTGTGTTATCTGCCGTTTATTTTTTTAGAGATATTAAGTTCATGTAAAGCTACTTAAGGAAATATTGTAAGTAAATTGTTTATAATTGTGTGTCGAATTTTGATTATCTATTTAAGTAGACGAACTCCCTTGAAGATTTGGACAAAAAAAGTGACGAAACGTCGGGAAGCAATGCAATAAAATCCTTCGTTTTATTTACCACATTACCAAAGGCCATTGAGCTAACTTAAAAACAATTAAATATTAAATATTAAAATCTAAACACATTACTACAATAAAAGACTAGTATTGCACCTAAAATCGTCAAAATACCGAATATAGCGACGTACTGATATATGGGTCCTATACGAAGATCTGGACCTGCATATACAATTTTCTGTCATAGGCTGTAGTATCCATTACGAACTTCAAATACTAAATTTGAAACCATTCCGGTGACTAATGTCGCTAAAATCATAAAAATACCGAATATCGAGAGGTACCGCTATATGGGGGTTATGCGAAGGCGTGGACCTGCACAGACAATTTTCTGTCATAGATTGTAGTATCCGTTATGAACATCAAATAACAAATTTGAAACAATTCGGGTGAGTAATGTCGCTAAAATCATTAAAATACCGAATATAGGGTGGTACCATTATATGGGGGCTATATCAAAACGTTGACAATTTTCTGTCATAGGCTATGTTATTCATTACGAACTTAAAATACCAAATTTGAAACAATTCCGCTGATCAAGAATATAAATACTTTGTTGGGTCTGGCATGAGTATTTCGAGGAGTTATAAACGGAATGACGAACTTAATATAACCGCCATACTATGTATGGTGGAGGGATAAAAATCAAAACTAGTAGATACTTGCAGGTTCTGGTACAGAGCAATCATACTTATACAATGAATATTTTCCCCCGAGTGTATAAACACACTTTTCATTTCTCATGTTTTTTCCCCGAATTTCCAATTTTTTTAATGTTTTGTTATGTTTTCTTATGATTTTCCCTATAAAGTTTTTGTTTGACATGATATTCACGGCACCTAGTGATTGTGACGTCAATATTGGCCGTCATTGTTTTCTGTTTTTCAGTTATTTTTTTCCCCCATTCAAAATGTTTATTTTTAGGATTTTATAAAATCCTAATGAAATGATGATTACGATTTCATGGCAAATTGTAATTTTTTAAATGAAGATGATATCAACAAGATTGTTATTTAAATAAATAACAACAAAACTGCGGTTGTTATTAAAAAATACATTACATGTTTCAAGATTTTAATATGAAGATAAATCGCAAACAAAGTTAATAATACTTCTTTAACCACCAAACCACAGTCAATGTCAAATATGATTTGATTTAAATCAAATCAAATGATTTAAATCGGTAAAATGAAAACCGAATTAAATCCCTTTATTAATCCATTGCAATGTGATCCCCCCTGAATGCAAATAAATCATAAAAAAAAAACTGTAATGTGAGTTCCAGAACTGCAAGAATATAAAAGTTTTTACTACGATAACCGATTTTCCATTTATGATATCGACGAAAATTGCAAAATTAGTAGATTATTGTAAGTTCTAAAACAGACCAATGAGTAAACATAACCCTCAGCCATATCTCTAGAGAGCGTACATTTGATACGGCCAAAACGTGCCTCATCGAAATTACTGTTTTAGACAGTTCTCTTTGGACCAAATCCGTTTCAGGACATTTGGAGCTGGTGACTCTCGAAGGTAGTATCCGATATGATCCAAACTTGGTACATCGTTATATTATTGTCAAACTTAGATCGAGTTCGGAGATGGGTACCTCCCCCACAAAATGTCAACATTTTCAAAGCAAATAATTTACTGCACAAAAACAGAATGGATTATCCGATTTTGCTCCAACTATGCAAATCCGAATATTTGCATCAGTGCTAGGTCAGGTGCGATAATGGACAATATTGATTCACTGCATCAAGTACCTCCCCCACAAAGGGTCAAAATTTGCAAAATTATAACTCTTATAACATGTGATGTTAGTGTCCGATTGTCTTCAAATTACACACATCACAATATTTTTATTAACCCAAAGCCTGGTGTGAAGATGAAATATATCGGTCCACTCCTTCTGGTACCTCCCCCACAGAGGGACGAAATTTTGCTCATAAAATACGAAATTAACATCCGATTCCATTCAGACTTGGCACATTTCAATATCTCCATAAACAAAAGATCTGTTACAAAAATGGTAGAGATCGGACCATTCCTTCTGGTACCTGCCCCACGAAGGGTTAAAGTTTTGAATAACCAAAACGATCATAAAATCCGATATAAGCATTCGGTTCACTTTAAATTACACACATCACACTATTTTTAATAACCCAAGGTCTGGTGTGATATATCGGTCCACTCTCTCTGGTACCTCCCCTACAAAAATTTTGAATAACCATGAAGCTCATAAAACCCGAAATTATCATCTGATTCCATTCAGACTTGATAAATCTCAATATTTCCATTAAAACAAGATCGGTTGTAAAGATGCTAGAAATCGGACCATTTCTTCTAGTACCTCTCCCACATAGGGTTCAAGATTTAAAAAAAAAACGTTAAAAAAGCGAAATAAGCATCCAACTCTCTTCAAATTTCACACATCCAAATATTTTTGCAAGATCTGCTGCGAAGTTGATATATATCTGTCAACCCCTTCTGGTACCTTACCCACAAAGGGTCACAATTTCCAATACTTATATCTGTCATAACTTGCGAAACAAGTCGGCGATTTTTTACAACTTGTTATATCTAAATAATTCTCTTAGTCAGAAATGTGATATGAATATATAGTTAATCGAAATTTATGATTTCGCATAAAATCGGATATAAATGTTCGATTTCATTCAAATTTCCACACACAAATGTTTTTATCTGTATTAGATGAAGTATGATAATGGAATACTTCGGTCGGCTATATGCCGTTCTTCACGCATATTTCCACATTTTCCAAAAATTTGCACATATCTCATATAAAGTATAGAAAGTAGTCGATATAGTCCGAATCTGGCACGTTGTAATATTTTTTATTAGTCTTAGGTCAGACACGAATTGGTCAGTATTGTCCAACTGCCTCGGAACATCCCCCAATAGAGGGTCAACAGTTAGAATAATCACAACTCAAGGCTGGGGGTATACATCTGTCGGCAAAACCGACAGATACTATTTTTTTTTTTGTTCTTTTTTAAAATTGAAAAAGAAAAATTTGAAACATCATTATTATATTTCAATTAACGCGTAATTAAGTAAATTGTTCTTCGAACACACAACCTATTTAGAAGTGTACAGACAGGCGCACATAGATGGATTCTGTCTAAGCTTATCAACACCTCTGTGGAAGCGGGAAGATATTGATGTTAATGGATATGCAAAAAACATACACACATACATTGATTCGAAAAAAAAATCATTGTATCTAAGGCTCCTAATTGGATTATCTGTTAATATTCTCCAAATACACCAAGGGAAAAATATCAATATTTTACAACAAATTTTCGAGCAAAAATTTATTTATTTTCAATTAAAAACAATGAATTTGACACAATTATTTCATGTCAAATTAATTGCCATTTATAAACGAGTGAAAAGATATAATAATTTATTGAATGAACAAATTTTACTACTTCACTGCTGTATCGATCACTATTTGTGCTAAAAATAACTTTTCAAGTGGCAGGCATTGCATTCGACCGTCATTGCAAGCGAAAACAATCATCGATTAGTAATGAATAGAATTTCCGTTTTTATAAAAAAAAAATGTATTCAATCATTTTTATGAGTTATTCATTGGGGGTAGCTGGTGATAACAACATTTCACGGTAATCAGGTGTAAGCGTCGTGTGGCGGCAGGTGTCGTCATCGTCACTATCATCTCGAAATCCAAAATCAATAAGGCACACGTCATTTTTGTTTGGTAAACTTCCAGAAATTTGTGAATGTCATACTGGCTTTCAATGGTCATATAAATATTAGGGTGGAACGGTCAAACTAGTTTTAAAAAAACGGCAACATAATATAAGAGCAAGTGTGAGAATTATGACTCTCTCTTTTTACATACCAAAGTTCTCTCTCTCTCTTTCATATTCAATTATTATATTTTTAATTTTCAAAAAATGTAAATACAATTATTCTCTTGATTTCCTTTTACTAAAATTTTTCTTAAAAAAAACACACACGTACACACACAAGTAAACAGGTATTGAAATATAGCCACATCTGTCTACAACGTGGGCTTTTATACATCTCTTAATTATACATCTAATGTCTGGTTTGTTTTGGCTGGTGTTTGCCATGCTCCCCTCCGTTTTCGAAAGATATAATGGTCGCAAATAAACGCCAACGCTTATATGAAATTATGGTTTATGAATGAATATGAAACGATGAAGCTTGGAACCTGCACTGCAACTGAGACGAGATATTTTTTTGACATTTTTGAATGTCAATAATAATTATTATATTTATGAATATTATCAAATATTAAAAAAAAGGAAAATAGTATCAGTCGGTTTTGCCGACAGATTTATGCCCCCAGACTTGAGTTATGACTTTTCAAATTGTTGACCCTTTATGAAGGAGGTTCCGAAGCACTTGGACAATATTGACCAATTCATATCTGATCTAAGACTAAAAAAAATATTACAAAGTGTCAGATTTGGACTATATAGAATACTTCTTATACTTTATATGAGA